TTTATTATAAAATTTTATTAAAAATATATATTTTATATACAATAATTGAAACCCGGTGAGAAAACAAACACCTAAGATTAATTAAATAAAATATTACCTATAAAATACATATATTTATATAAAATAATTGAAAACTATTAGGTGGCGTTTCCTCACACGAAATGCCACCTAATATTAATTAAATAAAATATTTATTAAACATTTTATTTATGATAAAATAATTATTGAAAATAATATATATTTATATAAAATAAATAAAACTATTAGGTGGTAAGCTTTGTTAAATATTATATTTACTATAAAATATTTATTAAAAAACAATTCTAAAGAAATAATTAACTATCAAATAACAAAAAATTAAAACCCTCCGATGGTGTTTCCTCATGCAAGAAATGTCACCTAAAGTTAATTAAATAAAATATTTTTTAAATAATATATTTATTATAAAATTAGTGTTTAAAATATATTTTTTATAAATTAAGTGAAAACTATTAGATTGTGTTTTGCCGTAGGAAAGGCTACCTAAAACTAATTAAATAAAATATTATTTAAATATTATATTTATAATAAATATAACATTTGATGACTCCGAAATGTTAACGTCAATGAAGATTTGCGAAACTAAAATCATGTTAAATGAGACTATTTAGCAATTATTTTAAAATAACCACTAAATAGTTTCTAGGTAAAAAAATTAAAAAACATAAAGATTATATAACAGGTTTTTATTTTAACCACTATATAATGCAAGACTATTTAGTGGTTATTTTATATAACTGTTACATAGTTCTTGAAATCAAATCCTACCTCATCTATACAACAGTTATTGAAATAACCACTATATAGAGGATGCTATACATAGCTCTTTTTTTAGTAGTATGACATTGCTAATTAGAACATTCTTTTGATTACTTGCACCATGTCATGCTAGTTAGTTGTGTTAATTGGTTGTATTTAGTGCTTTAGGCTTTGTTGTATGAGTTGTCAATGTCTAATCGAGGCCTACATATTGGTGCAAGTATGTTGATAATTATTTTGATGACTGTAGATGAATATTTACTATTTAGTAATTTTTATGTTGATTACCCCCTTGCTTTTTGATGAAATGGGGGTTGATGAGTGAAAATGTAAAATGTGTTGTATATTTGTGTTGTAATGCATTATACAGGTTATCCTAAGTTCCTTGGGCTTGATCTAGTATTAGCTATTGATACTTTGGTTGGAATTTAAACACCTTGGAAGTTTAAAAGTGTGAAAAAGGGGTTGTTTTTGGTCATGGGTGTCTAAACTTTTGTTATAATATAATTTAGAAATAAAACTAATGCCATTAACTAGTTCATTAAATGTGTTTTCTGTGAACACCTAAATCACCTTAATCGAACATAGGGCGGAGAATTAGGATGTGTCAAAAGTTCTCCTCTGAGACTGTTTTGTGATAGCACTATCCTTATGCTTGTACAATGCACTATGATACACGGCGCAGAGGAGGTTTAGCTGTAGCGCATCAATGGTTGGTTGTGGAAGATGCTCTAGAAATTGTTAAAATAACATTTTACCTTTTTTTCTCAATTGGTCTTCAATTCTAATAGTATCTCATGCTTCCATATACCTTTCAACTTTGATTTATGCTTGCTTGGCCTTGATAAGGTTTGATTTAATTATTCAACTTGAGATCCCAGTGGTTTGCTAAATTATACTTATTTTATTATGGTTTTTAATCTCATCTTATTTACTAGCATATGATAAATGATTTTAATCTTATCGACCATGGTAGAATCCTTTCTACCATAGTAGGGACAACTTGTTTATATTCTAAATATATTTTGTAGTATTCTATTACCATGTTAAAGTGTGATTAGTTAAGGATAAGTTTAGGTTAAACTTGAGATTTTACAACAACTGTATTACACAATTTACCAAAATCAATTAATTATAATAATTGTATCTGAAAATAAAAACAACTAAACTAAAATACCATTGTATTTAATCAAAATAAGGCTGAATTAACTGTTTATTGTGAATGAAAATTATAAATTTATAAGAGATAATTTAGGAAAATTGTAATAAATGTTTAATAAGATATGTGATTTTCCTATAAGTAAAATCAAAATAACAAGTAATAGTTTCTCTTCTATGCTGAATGGAACGAGGAATCTATAAAAAATTTATATGTCTTGATTTAATTGAAAATAATCATGTCAAGTATAGCAAATATTGGAAGACTCCACTTATGGACGTGTTTCAAGTTTCTACCTTACATTGTATGTTGGCTATAGTAAATATAAAAAGACTCCACCGTTGGGAATTATAAAGCACCAAGCTTTTAGTATACTCTAATCAACTCTAAAATTGAAGAAGAGAGTAGGACAAAAATAATGTGAACATGTTGAGGTTGGTTTGGAAATAAAATCGCTATCAAGACCGAAAATGACTTGGCATGGTGGGCATATTGACTATCAAGAGTGAGTAGCGTGCAAACTAAGGCAAGGAAGTTACTAAAGGGGTTCTGACTTATGAGCCTTGCATTCAACAGTAAGAATGATAATAATAATAATGCTCTCTTACTCTTGCCTTTGCTATTGTTGCGTACTTGTACTATTACTCTTGCTTTTTTAATAAAAAAAAGGATAACTTCATTCAAAAGAATATAGACAAACAAGAAACACCAAGCTTACAAACAAAAGAAGCAAACACCAGTAGGCACCTAAAAAAAACCCACCAAAGACGCCACATAAGAAAACAACCTATCTACGTTGCGGTAGGTCCAACAACAAAAAATCAAAATTCAAACAATGACCCAACAACTTAGTGAGATACTCAAATATATTATGCCATACTATTACTCTTACTAGGTGCATGTTTGTATTTGAGTTAAACTTGACCTAAATTTTTAGGACATTTCGAGTTACTTTCAATTATGTCTAACAATTTTTGAATTTGACACAATCACATAATCATATAAAAAATGTACATAAAATATATCTTATAAAATTCAATTGAAGCACGTTAGGTTGTTGTCATGTGGTGTGATATGATATGATGAGATATTTTCAATCCCCATTACATGGACTCCATAATATCCAATATTAACCCATACCTTGTTTTTACAATTTATCAGTGACTTTTAGCTTTTATTTTAAAAATTATAATTTAAAATGAAAATCTACATTAATTATGCCTCTTAAGGTCGGCGGAGGTGTTAATGGATTCCTTTTGATCTGTTCTTTAGAACAAGCTAAGATAATTATTAATTTTTTTAAAGCTGGACTCATAACATGCATGATTTTTTTTTTGTTCAAAAAGTTAAACAAGCCACCACCCACCACCATCTTGTATGTAAAGGGATCACTTTACACAGAGCTCAAGAGGGGTTGATAAACATGCTTGAAAGAAACAGATAAGCTTCAGGGGGCCAAGAAACAGATCATTTAATGGAATATGTAGACCAAATAAACAATTTTCGGCATTACCCCATTGTTTCTTACCAAGAATCCCTTAGTTTTACCAAAAACAATATTGCTCGTGAGATACAATTGAGGAGAGATAGTACATACACTGCACTATTTTTATTTGGTCATTTTTGGTGAGTCTCATAATTTGATATGCCAAAAGTTTAAATCCTCTGCATCAAACTTCCTTTATGGTCAACAAAACATGTTGAATTGAACTGGACTAGCAACAAGATTCATTCACGGCCATAGAACAAAATATGTATATTCAATGTTACGTCAACAGGTGTAATGTCGGTGTTAAGCATATATCAAACATATATATAACACCATGCAAGCTTAATTATTGTTGAGAATAGCTAGCAAGCACATTGGTTAATACCTCCTGTACAATTTCCTGCTACAAAATTTCACTGCATTACTTTGTTTCTTCATAAATAATTCCATAATCTCTACAGGTTGAAATCTTTTGTGTTATGAGAATTAACAAAACGCAAATAGAATTAGATCCATGGCATAAAGATATATAAATATAGAAAAGATGAAGCTTGATCATTGAGGCAAGAGTTCAGTCCTAGACATTTCATTTGAAACAGTCATCTTTGAACTTTTGAGAAGTCTAATATGAACTAGATCCAGCTCCAACAGTTGAATTGTAATGCATGAAGAATGGAGGTTCTCTTGGAGATGGTAATTCAATGGAAAAATTAGCAAGATACGAAATAATCTGAGCCATCATTGGCCTATCATTTGGATTTAGCTAAACACACAATAACCCAATATGCATGCATTTGATAACTTCAGTATGACAAGAAGATTCCATTAGAAAAGGGTCCAATACTTGTAATGGTATTCCCTCATTCCAATGTTTCCAAACCTGAAATAATTTCTCAAATATTAGATAATCAAATTCATAATTTTTAATTTTTCACCATACTCAGCATGTTAATTCGATTTAGATACATATGACAATATATTATAGGAAAAAACAATTAGCTTAGATTTAATACTTACATCTATTAAGAGGTATGATTCATAAGATCTAGCATTTTTCTTGCCACATAGAACTTCTAAAACTATAATTCCAAAACTATATACATTAGACTTTTCAGAAAATAGTCTGTGCATAAAATATTCAGGAGCCATGTAACTACTAAAAAAATAGGAAAACAAACATAAAAAGCAAGGGTGTTAGTATACTTTAAAAAACATACTAAGATGAATTTGCACAGGATGGTTACACAAGATAGGATAAATGAAGCCATGTTTCATATACAAAACACGTAGAATCTGCTTTCATTTCTAATGCAATTTATTAATTAAGATAACCAACTGGAAACAATGATGAAACAAGAATTTAAGACTTACTATGTTCCAACAATTCTATTTGTGTTTCCTTGGTCTTCGTCTATAGCAGTCATTTTTGCCATACCAAAATCTAATATTTTTAGATTTATCTTGTTATCTAATAAAATATTACTTAGTTTGAGGTCCTGATGAATAATTTTGAGGCGAGAATGTTCATGCAAGTAAGAAAGTCCTTGTGTAACATCCTGATTTTTATATAATAAAGAAATTGTGGAATTTAGGTTTTGAGGAAAAAAATGATAATAATAGGAATTTATATTATTTGAGGTTATTTAGAAATAATATTATGGTTAGGTATTTAATTATGAATTTAAAAATTTAAATTTAAAACCACATAAGCAATATTTAGTTAAGATATAATACATAAATAATTTTTTTTATGTGTGTGTTAAAACAAAAGAGAAGGTAGAAGGAACAAAAAAAAGGGGGTGGAAGGTTGTTGTTTCTAAGTCTCACATTGGTTAGATGAGGGAAGAGAAGAGGTGCCTTCATGTATAAAAAGGAGAGGGTGTGTGCATTAGGAAGCATGAGAGGCTAAGATGCAATTTAGAGGAAATTGCAACTTTTGGCTCAAGAGTCTGAATAATTAAATTCAAACCTATAATTTTTTTAATATAATTGTGGGACCCAAAATTCTATTTTTATATTATTTTTCTCTCTTCCTCTCACGTGCTCGGCGTCTTCTCGCAAGGGGGGATTATTTTCTTTTTCTTCAGGTATGTTCCAACTTTCCTGTTTAGATTAGCATTTAAAAAAAATTATTTAGTTATTTTCTAAATAATATTAGCTTTTTAGTGATATGATTATTTTGTAGAATAGAGTAAATATTTTGATTAAAATTTTTCTATAGGATAGTTAATCTAATGATATGATGGATTAAAAATATAGGTTAAAGCTCTTAGGGATATAATAAATATTATAGAATATTTTCTTGAGGTTAAAACTCATGTTTAAGAATTTTTGAGTTAAACTCTAGATCTATATGGTTGAATTTATGTTGAATCTGAGATGTAGGGATGAACCTCTGATTATTAAATATTTATTTAAGTATGAATAGGTATTTTTGAGGTTATAAAAAGGTGATTTGAGGCTTCAGGATAATTTTAAAATTTTTAATTTATTTTTGGATGAATTTTTAAAATATAGAAGGATGAAATTATGATACTAAAAGTGATTTGAGGCTTAAAAATAGTTTATTAGGGTACGAGAATTTTAGAAAAGAATTTGAAAAGTTAAATGAGGCATAAATCTTAAATTAGTGTTAATATGGATTATAAATCTAAGACTTTTTAACTCTTTAAATTAGAGTTATTTATTAATTTTAATGTAAAATTAATATATAGTATTGTGAAATAATTATGTAGATTATATTGACAAAGATAGTGGTAAAAAAGGAGTTGTGAAGGGGAACTTGTTATTCAAGACACAAGGTAACCATTATTAATGTGTTGTGATGGGTGTGTTTGTGAATGGTTATGTGTTGTTTTTATTGTTTGGAAAAATTATGAATTATTGAAAATAAATACTGTATATACTTGTTTGAAATTATTGACAAGTGGGTTAAAAAATTTATTTTTGTTTATCATGATGAGATATTATTGTTCGGATATATTCCTGTTTGGATATTTGAATGATGCATGACTTGTCAGGGTATTTTAATGTATGGTATTAATGGAAATTTCTGTTCGGTTAATTATTACCACGTGGTAAGCCCTCATTGGACCCAATGAGTGGCGTGTCGCTTGGTCCAACTCACCTTTGGCCGAGTGATTTGGCGTCCGAGCATGGCGAAAGGAGGATATAAGGTGCAGTCATGCAAATTAAATACTTGTTCAGTTTGTTTGAAAATATTGTTCAGTTAAATGTTTTGTGTGCCCACTTAGCAATCGCATGATTAGTTACAACCGCATGTATCATTACATATTAATTTTTGGTTACTGGGACTTTTAAGTCTCATTCCCCGTGGTTAATATTTTTACAGAAGCGAGTCCGGCCAAGAAAGCACCAGAGGTGTAACTATGATGTATGAGACACCATCTTTTACGTTGCCTTTTATTTTGGATTATACAATGTATCTTGTGCCAACTTAGAACATATCTTCTTTGTGAAGCATGTAAACTCTAATCCTTTTTATTAAAAGTATTTATATGACCAAGAGGATTATGTCTGTCCCTCTTGATGTATGTTCTGATTTGAATATCATGCCATAAGGATTATGTCTGTCCCTCATGGTTTTAATTGCTTTTTAGGATATTTTAAGACTTGTGTTATGTCTTGGATGTATCATGGTAAGAAAATTTTCTACCACGATAATGGTTTTAATAATTTGCGAAAAATCGGTTTGTAAATTTGAGGATGTTACACCTTGTGCAACTCCTCTTATGATTTTAAAACGCTCCAACCAACTCAACAATTTTTGTTTCTCAAGATCTACAAAAGGAAATCAAATAATTGAGAAAATAAGAAATAATAATTAACCCTTAGAAAATAAATCCATATATATAAAGCATGCAATGGGAACTTAACCAAAAAGAAGAGACAAGGTTAGAACTACATACCAAACAAAAAGAAATCAACACTCTTGTTTGGCACGTATTCATAAATAAGAATTTTCTCATGTTCTTCCAAGACAAATCCTAGTAAAGTGACTAAATTTCTGTGCTGAAGTTTAGCAATCAGTAAAATTTCATTCTTGAATTCTAATGTTCTTTGTATAGAACATTTTGAGAGTCTCTTTACAGCAATTTCTCGCCTATCATGAAGAATGCCCTAAAGAAACATGAGTGAATAATTAGGCTAGCTATATAAAATTTGAATATAGTATGGTCTAGTAGATTATACCTTGTAAACTTCTCCAAATCCACCTTTCCCTATTTTGTTCTCTTCAGAGAAGTTATTTGTTGCAGCTTCAATTGTAACCAAGCTAAATTGTAAGGAAGTCAAGCTGGAGTCTTCTTCTCCAACTGAACCGATATTTATGAATATCAAAATAAATATATTATAATTAAAATAAACATACTTTGAAGTTTAAAAGTGAATGTCTAAGATAAATTACAATTTTCTCTAAGAACTGCTGCTTGACTGCTTTTCCTTGACTTTCTCCTGAGCAGGTAGCAACCCAGGAAGGAAAAAAATGTCACCAAACCAATAATTGGGACAGCGATGATGGCGATAGTTTGTGGCCGACCACCACGTCCTTGTCTTGATTAGAAAACAACATTCAACCATGTCACTTGTGTTATTAATAATTGACCAATTTTTTTTAGTAGGAAAAGATACCTGGTGCATATGGAGATGGAGATGGAGATGGAGATGGAGATGGAGATGGCTGGAGCTGCAGTGAATGCAACTGCTTGATCATAGAAGAGGAACTGCTCATATCTAACATAGCAGTTCCAATTGTTAAGCGCTGCACCAGTTTGGTTCTTGTAAAGATTATTGAGAAACACAATAGTATCTTCCAAGCAGTTTTTGCAATCTTGCTTAGACAAATTAGGCGTGCACTGAACAAGGCCATATACAGGTTTCCGATGCAAGCCTTGTGCAACTGATGCTGCGAACTTACGACGACAATCACCGGCTACGGCTTTTATTATTAGATTTTGCAACAGATCATTCATCATTTCATTGAAGTAGTTCGTGCCTTCTTCTACACACACTTGGCACTAGTGCAAAATAACAATTTAACGACATGCTTTTTACCACAGTTCATAAAAAAACTGTGGTAATACATGAGATAATGGTTTATTGATAATTAACTTAAAAAGTAGATTATTTATGGTGACAATTCTATGATAAATTGTCGCCATAAATGCTTATGAGAAATATTTAAATTAAATAATTTAATTAAATAATTAAAATAAATTATTACTTAAATGTAATTCATTTACAAAATAATTATAATTGAAATCAATTATTAATTATATTATTTATTATTTATTAATAATAAATTAATATTTAAGGCAAATTAGTTTTTTCTAAATTAAAAAATATTAAAATAACTTTATTTAGAAGATAATTATACTTCATCGAAATTATTTATTATATTCATAATTAATTATGTAATATTGAAGATAAATTAATTGTATCTAAAATAAAAAATATTAAATGACTTTTATTTAGAGACTATTATAATAAATAAAATTATTTATTATATTCGTAACAAATAATGTAATATCTAAGTTAAATTAATTTTGTCTAGATAAAAAAATATTAACAAATTTTATTTAATAACATTGAATAATTAATATATTTTTTAAAGTTAAAATTAAAATTTAAAAAAAATTGAGCATATTAAAAATAGAAGACAAAATAAAATAAATCTTAAAATAATTAAATTAAATTAATTTTATATATTTTATTTATTTATTTATTTACGTCTGAATTGAGACATTTTGAATTTTAAAATGTCTGAATTCAGACAACATTAAAAGGCTTTGGCGACAGGCCTAAGATGGGGCCTGTCGTCAAAGATTCAAAATGTCTGAATTTAAACAACATTAAAAGGCTTTGGGGACTGGCGTCCTTGAGACTGTCGCCAAAGATGTATCTTTGGCGATAGGCCCAAGCTTGTCTGAATTCCAGACAAATTAAAATTGTTTGAAATTCAGACAATATCTTTAACAACAGTCCCGAGGGCGCCTGTCACCAAAGACTTTTTTTAAAAAAGAATTACGGCGACGGTCCCCTGGGGATCTGTTGCCATAAATATATCTTTTTAAAGACATATTTATAGCGATAGACCCCGAGGCATCTATCATTATTAATTAATTAAAATAAAATCTTATTTTTAAAATAAAATAATATTTTTTAAATAATATTTTATTTTAGGCCACATTTAATGTGTCTAAATTAACACATTAAATAAGACTTTTTAAATAAAATCTTATTTTTTAAAATTATATTTTTTAAGATAGATTTAGTTAAATGTGTCGTAATTAAGTTAAATAAAATATTATTTTAAAAATAATATTTTATTTTAAGACACATTAAAAGTGTCTTAAAATAATTTTTAAAAAAAAAATGGTTTACGGCGACAGTTGCCCTATGAACTGTCGCCATAAATGTGTCTGAAAATGAGACACATTTATGGCAACAGGCAGTGGGTTAATTGTCACCGGTAATGTTGTTAAAAGACTTAATCCCTTAGCTCGTGATCTCTCAGCTCGTGCCGTCACTCTCCCCCACAGCTCCAGCAATCACAGTCGCCCACAGCTCGTCTTCCCCATAGCTCATCCTCAAGCTCACTCATTCCCCCTTGGCTTGCAGCTCACTTCCTCATTCCCCTTTAGCTTGTAGCTCCCACAGTTTGAAGAGTGCCCACAGCTCCAGCTTGCCTTATCCCACAGCTCGCTGTCGCCTTTAGCTTGTGTTCCTCCAGCTCGCCGTCGCCTTCAGCTTCTGTGCCCCCAGCTCGTCACCACCGCCGCCTTCGATTTAGCTTCCCTTGCCCCCAGCACATCTCAACTTTCAGGTTTTTTTATTTTTAATTAGCTTTTTATGCTTCGTAAAATTAATTTTTTTTGCTGATTTTTTTTGGTTTTCTTGTTCTTTTTTACTATTTTTTTAGTTTGTTTCTTGATAATTTTTAAACACCTATTTTTAAGCACCGCTTTCATCGTGTTTCCTTCCCTTGCCCCTGCACATCTCAATTTTTATGTTTTTTTAATTTTTTAATTAGCTTTTTATGCTTCACAAAATTAATTTTTTTGCTGATTTTAAATTTTATCTTTTTTGTTCTTTTTACTATTTTTTGTTTGTTTCTTGATAATTTTTAAACACCTACTATCATAAATTAATTAAAATATTGTTTGATGGCTGTATGTGATAGTTTGAATTGGTTGTTTATTAGAGTTAATAATTATTGACAATTCAATTGAATTTAATCATTAAAATTTGTTTAATTTTATTCAAATTGGTGTTTTGAAAAGGTTAAATAGAACAATGTATTTCAATTATCCTTTTAGCTCTACATAAGTAAATTAGATTATTATTTAACGGTTGTATGTGATAGCTGAATTGGTTGTTGATTAGAGTTGATAATTTTGAAAATTCAATTGAGAGGTTAAATTGAACAAATTGAGGGTTCTAGTGCTCGGGAAATCTTGCTTTGTGAACTGTTATGCTGTCAAAATTTTTTTAAATTTCAAATTATAAATTATTTATTGAAATTTGAAATAGGTAATGATAAACCATAGTTGGATAGATGCTTTGCGAACAAGTGATGAATATGAGATATGTTATTATATTTTTTTTCTACTAACTTTATTTATCTTATTTGTTTTAGGAAAAATATAGAGAATCTTGTCACCGACAAATCAAGTTCTAAAAGAGGTAAAAGAGGGGCCATACGACTTATTAAATTAGCCCAAATACATGAAAAAATTCAACTTGATTTTGATGACAAAGGCCAACCAATTGATAAGAAGAAAGGAAACATTTTTAAGAGTTTTGTGGGTTTGGTGGCATGTCAAAAAATCAGCATCTTGGAGGAAGAGTAGGATGATGTAAATGAAAGTGATAAAAATGATGTTTGGAAATCTATACTGGTATTTTTAATTGTTATATGTCATATCTACTTTTTATTTTGACATTTATGTTGTTACTAAATTCTTTGTTGATGTGTGTTATTTTGCAGATTACTTATAATATTAAGAAAATTTCATTTTTAAAGAACAAGTGGCTAAAGTATACTGGAGACCGATGGAGGGACTTTAAATCCAAACTTACTAGAAAATATGTGTTTCCTAAGAGTTGCAATGAAAATGATGATAGTGATAATGATGTCTACATGGAAAATCCTTGGGAGAAATATCCATTCATTGATTATGACACGTGGATGAAATTTGTTCATAATAGATACTATACCAAATTTTTGGTAAGTGAAACAAGAATATGATAATTTGTTTAGTATTAGTAAAAATTTATTTCTAACAAATGCTTTTCATTATTTGTTAATAGGACAAAAGTCAAAAAGGGTAAGAGTGTCGAAAGAAAAATCTATACAACCATACGATGTCTTGGGGAGGGTATGCATATATTTATGATATAATGACTCAAGAGAAGTGGGAAGCTAAAAAACAAGCAGCGGGGGTTGATAATATTGAAGATGTTTCTCCTCCATCTCCTGTTAATCATGCTCAAGCATGGAAGAGAGGATGGATGAATAAAAAAGGAGAGTTTATTTCCCCAGAGGCTAGAGAAGTGGCTGAAAAAATTGTACGTATCTTTACAGTCAATATCTTAATCATATGATTGAAATTTTTTAACTATATTGATTTCTATTTGCTCGCACATTCTAGGATGCTCTTACAGAAGCATCCTCTGAGAGACCTTTGTGTCTACTGGTAGGAAGAATATATTGACTATGGCCTTAGGGAGTGAAGAGCATCCCGACCGTGTTAGGGGAGTTCTAAAAGGTATGGGTTTAAGACAATATTTTAGACCTCCACTATCTAATCTTATGCCGATACAACAAGTACAAATGATGATAGCAGAATGCAAGTCAAGCATGATGATAGAAATGCAATCAATGATTAGCAATCTGCATATGCAACCACAACAAGCACCAAAATATGATGGTGTTACAGAGCCAGTATGTGATCCTAGCCTATCAGATCAAGGAATGCTATGTATACTTTATGTGAAGGATCATGGCAAATGAGTAGTTGCATATGGAAAATTATATAACGATGTAAATATAGTCCACCACCAGCAGATACAACATAACCAAGTAAAGGTGATGGTTGAAGAGGTTGTGGATGCTAATGCTCCTATTCTATTCCCTACTGAGGAGGTACAAACAATAGGACAAGCTCAATATAATTTCATTATTTGGTTGAAAAAGCTAGTCCGACAGGTTACTGAAGAGGTATAAAAATATTACAATTTTTTAGATTTAATTAATATCATAGGTATTTCTAATTTTCATTATATATTAATCATAGGAACCTCTACAATCAAAAGAATCTCTGGGCTCCAATCCTCAACCGGTGCAAGATGATTTGAAACAATTGGCTTCAGTGGTGGTTAACATGGATGAATTTTCTAATAAAATAAATGTAATCAAAAATATTGTTATGAAGCATATTACGTTTAGAGTTGCCAGAAAAGACATTAATGATCTCATTATTTTTGAGTGGTTAGATTTAGGAATAATTTAAATTTTTATCATGTAAGTATTCATTTTTATTTCTGAAT